AGCTAGTCCGACCGACAGGAGCATCGGTGGCAACGCTGTATTTGGCTCTTTTCGGCTAGTTGGCTGCTGAACTGCTAGTCCACAGCAAGCGAATCCTTGCCGTAGAATGACATTAAGCTAGCCACAAGAGACAGCGAAATCAATCCCAAAAGCAAGGGTCTCTATGCCTTAAGTAGACAGACCATTGGGCTTCGCTGTTAGGAAGTCTCTTCGGAGGTGTTGAGGCCGTCGCCGGCTTGTCGCAGGGAAAGGCCAGATAAGAGCTTCCCTCAGCTGGGCTCAGCAGGTATCCATATGTTAATAGAACACTTAGAACGGAACATATTTGTGTGTATCTCTGTATGCCGCTTTTACCTGAAATCTTTATGAACCGCCTTACAACGTGCTCGATATCGGCAGAAAGGGTTCATTCGTCATACCACCGACTTTGCTGGAAATCGAGGAATAACCATCACTAATGGAGCATGAACGTAGAATGGGTGCAAAGAAGGGGGAACAGGCGTATTGATATTTATCCACCATCAGTTTACTGATTTCGGTCGCGTGGAGATCTATCAGCTAACCTTAAAATAGCTTTTCTTATAAAATACAAAATAAAACCATTTAGACCTTACTTTGAACAGCATACATACATACATACATACATACATGCATGCATGCGCACTCGAGACGTAATGGTGATTTTGGCTATAAGATGCTAAACACTTTTCTTGCAGCAGCTGGTTAATGGAGGTGTTTGCGAAGTTCACTTGGCCTTATAATACCAAACGTGATAAGAAAGAACAGCATTTAAAGCTAGCCCCATATAAGAAATGCTGCCGTTGATTCCAACTAGGCTCACTTAAAATATAGTTTTCTCCAGCGTACGTTTTACGGGAAGGAGATGGTAATGCCAGCCTATCAGACTTTCACGTTGCAGAAAGAGTTGTGTTTATGTTAGCGACTGGGAAAAGTACGCACCCATTTTCCTAGGATGTTTCTATCGAACACCAACATAATGTGCAAAAATATGTGCCCTAAATTCTCAACATCGAATTTTATTCAAGAGTCAAGTTTGACATTTTGCAAAAAAATATATTATCGGACACCTCTGCTCCGTTTTAAAGCCTGTTTCAATGATGCTTTTTTGCCATAGATGTTTGTGCAAGAGTTATTTAGAGTGGTGTGGGCATTTAACAAAATTAGGAAGGCAGCGATATAAAACATTCCAATAGACGTCATTGAGGTCTCTGTTTAGCTGTATTAATTTCGACAAAGCTACGAGCACCGCTGCTCATGACCCGATTTTCTGATAACAAACAAAGCATAGCAGACGTGTTTACGTTTTTTTTTACGCATATGCACACACCAGAACTAGGACATTTAGGGGTAAATGTCATTAGTGTTAGATAATGTCACCAGGTTAAAAGAAGGACCACCTTAAGTAGTACCTCATCAAGCACCGGACATTTTGTTTACACTTCTTGACACCTTTGATAATGCAAGAAAATGTAGCTCGTGGTTAACCGACTTATGATTATGGTTGAAAGTGACTTATTAATCGAATAGTACTGGATACGAAAGATCGGTAAACAATCAACATCACGTTTCATCTAATTAGAACCGTTCACTCTGATCAAAGTTAGTGCCTCATAGGTGTTAGTCTCAAGGGCCATATTAGCGAAACGAGCCCACCCTGTACAAACAATGGGGGCATCAGTTAGTGATAAAGTTGGTAAAAGGAATCACATCTTGCATGGCTGATCTCTGGCAAGTACTCCAACCTGAAGGGCAAACGCTGCGCAATTCAGACAAACCAAACATTGCTATTTGCCATGTGATTCTCACACCGTGAAACGGCGCAATGCTTAGGGAGCTCATCAGTTAAAGTGCACCTGAAACAAACCTCTGAACCGTTGAGAGCTGTTACGAGCAGTTATAAAGTAGCCGATCTTCGACCGAAATCGGATGGGAAACTAGTTGCCGTTCGTTTGCCAAGTTTCTCTGGAGATATTTAAGTACTGATGTGAGTTCCAAACCAGTCTATGAGTTCATTTAATGGGGAAGTTAGTGGCGAACTTAAGTCCGAGAAAGTAGCTTTGAATTATTAACTAGTAATCAGTAATTATCATTCAAGTAAAACCACTTTGCAAAGCAGGTTTTCAAGGAGCTTAAACGGAAAATCTAAATTCTGCAACGATCAATTTTCTTTATCATGGATCAACTTTAAAACGCAACCTTACAGTCTTTCTACATTGTAGCCAGCTCACTAAGCATATTTTTTATATTAACGGCGTTTAGTTCTTCATAAGCCAGCTCTTTTTTATTATTGTGTGTATTGTAGAGCTTTATAGTCTACTTCTAGTACACAACAGCGTCTGGCACATACAGCAGAGGCGTGCTTTGTGCATTAAATTGTTTTTTGTCGTTTCTTGCTGCACCGAAAAAAAAACCGTGTTGCCATCGCTTAAGTGTAATCTGGCTGACAAGATGTGTCCTTACGCTGGGTCGTGTCTCCTTGTCATGATCAAGATCGCGGCCGGTTTTGACTTAAGGGCTTTAGATTAGCGCCAAGTTAAATACGGCCGAACTGATGTTAGGGCTTGAAGCCTGCTGGGCCTGTAATAGCTAAGGCAAGGAAAGTGCATACCGGACAGCAGGAGGAAGCAGAGGTCTGTGTGTAGAGCGCCCGCTGTACAAATGACGTACGGCCCCGTCCACTTTGTCCCCATCTCATCACATAGTTTCGATGTCTTCCAAGAGAACACTAGCACTACTGCTAAACGAAAGAGTGGGATGACAAAATTAACAAGATTCAATTAAGAGTGCCAGTAGCTGATACTGCTTCGCCGCGCCTTAAATCTAGCCCCCTCGTAGCGTCTCAACTCCGCCGTAGCGCAGATGGCAAGACGCTTCTTTAGCCTGTGTCCTGCTCAATGAGGCATATTGCCGACGCACGAGAAGACAACTGATTGCTGAAATTACTAAAATACCAATAATACTGAAGTATATAAATAGCACCAAGGAACACTCGTAAACATACTCGTATTTGCTGGAAGGCGAACGGCCTTTAGAAGATGCGAAAATAAATTGATCAAATGTTGTTTTTTTGGTATTTTTGCTGCTGAAGCTTTTTCTTGATTCAGTCAGCTAAGCATGTGACTTAAAATGAATCAGTCTCTCATAAGAGAGAATGAGCACCATCCAATGGAAGGGCCAGCGAAGTTCGAAGCTTTTGGTAAAAATATTTGGCTTCTTTTCTTTCCTCTAAGTAATTGGGTTGTACCGTGTACCCGAGAGAAAAAACTAACGAAAAAACTTAACATCCCTTTAATCTATAACGCTTTTTACTAAAGGTAACATCACTTGTTTCGTCCAAACGTCGCCCCTAGTTCCTAAACACATGTACCTGTCTCAACACACAATTACGTACACAAATGATTTCAAAAAAAATCATAATGATGTCAATTCTCTATGCTCCCACAAAGTTCGGTCACATTGTTAAAGACTTGGTAGATGCCTGAGTCCGCTAACTTCGCACATAGCTCAGAACTATTTGCCCCTTAGAAAACAAATTTTCGCGGCGGGTCATATCTGCATAATGTAACAATAGGTATGTATCATAAAATATTACGCTGCATGTTTCAGGACACTATATGTGTAAGAACTAAAACAAATTGATGTTGAATGTATCATAATTCATGAAAGGTAATGCTAAATTTTAGCTCTGAAAGTAACAATTGTTCTACATTAGAGCCTTCTGCGGGTCCCTATTATATTACCGCCCATTATGGCAAAACGTAAGAATGAAATCATACGCTTAAGTAGTTTCAGTGTGAGAAAACTTGATAAATGGAGGAAAGTTGCTTGAGAGGGTGGCGAATAGTCAAGGTAATACGAGCACCGTTGCTGCGACTAATAGCGACAGAGTTCCCCAAGCCATCACCTCAATATTTCAGCCATATTTAGCACACGTAGTCATGCGTTATTTCGCTTCTCTCAGAAGCAAACAACCTCTCTCCAAAGACCTGATCCTTTTTGCAACACGGGCCCCACTATCCGAGCAAGGCTACCACGATACAGAAGGAAGAAGAGAAGAGATGTATGCATACTGATGAAACGCGTGTTCATGAAAAACGTGAATGATCGCGCAGACGCTTCGGACGTACAGACACATTCGCTTCCGCTCACAGCCACTTACAATCATGCTCATAGGTGTACGCATCCCTACAGTGTGTATACGTAGTCTATACTCAGAGATACGTATAGGCAAACTGCCCAGTCGACCAACATACGTTTAAGCATATATAGTCGATTCCATAATTCTTCTGTTTTCTCGCCACACCATACAAACGGCGGCAGCACTCCGGTCTACTGCTGGCGTTGGTTCATTCGTGTAGGCGGACCGCCTATGACTGTCACCCGCGACGTCGTCTATTCCTTATTAAATAGGACCCCAAAGCAATAGCTGCCACCGCCGTTCCTAAAGATATAGAAGGAAAAACGACGTTTTTGCTTCAGAAACTACACAAAAATACGTGTTACTCAATCGCAAATGTTGTCGTTGTAACAGGAGAAAATATGCTACAGCCAGTTACGTTGCCTCTTTCCGCTCTTTACCTATTGCGGTATATAAAATATAGGTACACCGAACGCTTTGGTTTTTCCTAACGTATATGGGTAAGCGGGGAACTAATAAACAACCAAGGCTAGAAACAACATCGATCATTCAAGACTTGAAGAATTACAGCAAAATGTTATATTGGACAAACTTTTCGTGGGAGCCTTTTCGCCCAAAAAATGGCTTACCTTAGAGTAGCTGTTGCCGTGTCGTTATGGAAGCCGATTTCTAGTATTTATTCTTATAGATGTTTGTCGCGTAGTGACACACCCACAAACTGCAATATCCATTTATTATCATTTGTGATCAGTTTACAAGGATCGGAACTGGCCTTGGATGCGATAGTTTAGGGTAATTGCCGAACTAACCTCTATATCACATAAACAAAGAATATGGTTTATTTAATAAGTTTATATTGTTATCTATTTGTTTGTCAGTAACGTGTTCATGGCTAAAAATGCGTAAACTATTACATATTCACTTGTTACCGACTAAACTGTTCATAATGATTTTTGATGGATATCCTGGTACGGTCCTGTGCGTCATTAGACTGTTTATTATAATAGGTCTAATGCTCAGGAAGTGCGACTGCTGCGATGGATATGCCATAGTTGTATGACAGCATAAGTGGCGGCACATTGTCCTCTCGCTGTTGTTGATGGGTAGCTCAGCGCATCACTCGTATATATTAGTTTAGCGTGTCCTCTACTAATAATCGCTCGGTGGTCGTGCGAGTTTAGAAAGCTCACTTCTCTACGCTTAGATCTCCAAATGATCAGAAGAGGATGGGCGCACAAGATCCTTTTGGCATAAGGTCACCGCGGTTAGCTTCGTATCTCGACGCACGTCTACGTGGCTGTTTTGGAAGATTGCCAAGCGTACACGACTGACTGATAACCGCTTTATCTCTTACTGCCTTTGTCCCTACTCTCCCGCTCTGCTCCTTCATTGCTCCTCGGAACAACCTTTAGGTTCCCTCCAGCCTCCGTCGCCTCCCGTTCGACCATCACTGGAGACTCGACAGACTCGATAGTGCGAACGTCGCGAGTGATTCGCTCGCGGCAGCAGCAGCACCGAGGGCGTTGTTGATGGCTTTTCTATTTTCCCACAAGCAACCCGGCGTCCTGCCGGTCCTTCTCTACCCTTTAAATGCGCTGTCTGGAATGCACAAAAAGGGGGTAAACAGCAGAGGCATAGGGTATCAATTTCAACGGCTGCCTTTTATCTATTTGGCCACTCAGACAAAATCAGAGACGGGCCAAAACAATATGAAACCAACATTCGATTGTCAAAAGAACGTCTAGCGAGTGTAAAAGATAAATCTTGGGAGGCTATTTGCTAGATGTGCTTTGCCGACAGTGTACAGCGCATCTAGCCATCTAAAAGCGCATCTAGAAGATTAGAAGTAAACTAAATACATTTTGATTTTATCTTACACAACACATATATATATATATATATATACATATATATATATATATATATATATATACGTGCTTGTTTCGGATATCGAATTTTAATATGGGCTTGGTACATCAAACATATCCTTGCAACATATTGAGCTCTTCAGAACTGGCACGCTTGCGAAATGCGTTGCCTGTGTAAGACACGTCTTCTGAGTTCATCCAGATCATCTTGTATTCAAACGTTAAGAGTGCTTTGTTGGCTGTATGAGCTCTGGGGGGTGGGTCGAATGTTTGTCAACACTTGACATTTCTAAGGGTTCACTCGAAATTGTCCTTCCATGGCTTATATCCATCTTTTTAGCAATGGAACATAATATATAGCATTCCACAGTGAACCCGAACTTGAAGTAAAGCATACAGAATAGAGGCAGAAGGATAAGTTAGTAGAATTTTATAGGCGCAGCAATGACCTAGCGAAAGCAGGTAGGCAGAGCAATAATGCAATGTGAATTTTAGGTTGTTTAGTTTGTTGACTCTTGGTTCCAGGCAACTGATCGGAGTCGAATAGATACCTTGGTTGATTTCCAACATTCTTCCAGCGCGTCTAGCTGAGTACCTCCTAATAAGGTCAGCTCCAGTAAACGCCTGTGGGCTGCTCGGGTTCACGGTTCAAAGTTGAAAACGTCCAACCCTAAGAGAAAGCATACATTAAATGTCAATGCGTCGAAGTACCTACTCTTTCTATTTTCCTCCAAGTAAGTTTTATGATTTGCTGGGTTTTGTCTAACAAGTGAATCTTGTTTCATTTAAATTCACATTTCTCCTGAGTTAGGGGTACACGAAGTTAAACCATTCGAGAGATGTTCAGCTTTTTCTATATTGAACATAGAAAGCAATTAATCAATTCTGTACATGCCAGAAGTACGCCGTTCCTGCAGAGGCTAATTTCGAAACAGCACAGGGTTTGTTTGTTGCACTATTCAGTGAGATGTAATTCTTATTCAAGAGCTCTATTTTGTATTAATATCTTCATGATATACTTCCAGAGGGTTTAAAACACTCTACGTCGAAACGGTAAAGTCTGGTCTAACATTTTCAGATCTCTCTCATGTAATCCTATAAGACAGTTGCTGTGTAACTGGGGAATTTTTAAGCATGGGTGTAATACACAGATTCTCGTTATATCTGAAGCTCGCTCTCAATTACAACTAACTTTTCGCGAGGTTGGTGTTTCCCCTAATCTTCGATCAAATTCGGCTAACGGTACTCTGTGGACCTCCATAATAATGATTAATTCTTTTCTAATAATGACTAAAGGAACGACTACCTCTTTTTTTTTATCCTACTTTAAACATTTGTCAGTGGTGACATGTTTTGGGGAAGTGAACTGGGGCAGCCCAGTTCGAGCTAATAGCATAGTACGCAGGATCGAGTCATCTACACAAACACGCAGTTTTCCCGGCAAACTACGATCGATTGATGTGAGAAAAATGCTTTATTATATGCATTCGAATGTATATGGTATTCTGTCCATGATCCTATTGCTGTTACACAGAGCATGATTTAGCGCCAGCCGGGACGTCAATTCAACGGTGATAAGTCATGTAATCAGCGACCCTGATTGGCCTAAAAAGTATGCAACTGGATAATATACTCGGCTTTGACATCCCTGTTAGCCCTGATGTCAAGTTTTCCCTTTCTCTTACTCTAGAACCACCCTTCATGCACTGGGCGTATGTAAACTATATGAGTACTGATTTGTTGGCTGTATTGTCTATGTCGTACATAGACAAACTCTGATGATGACCTGCCGTTCAGCCGGATTTTTTTTTGTAATGGTACGGTTAAATCTGGAATGTATAGGCAGGAAGTCTGTGATTGTACTTCTAGTGAAGATGACTAGGAAGCTGACACAAGGCTGGCGGTCGTTCCATATGCCCGTAGTGGATAAATAAAGACTGGGTTAATGTCCCTCGTATAGCTTGAGTTCGACCCAACGATTGATAAAGTCGATGATTTATTATAAACTTCCAAATTGAGCCCTGCTGAAAAGTTTAACTATTTATCGTCTGCATTGAAGCATTGTTGACGACTGACTTTGACCTCGAATTAAAAGATCGAGGACGGGTATAGGCGCGAATCAATTACATAATGCGGAAATGCTTTTTCAGTAGATAAACGGTAGCTGGTATCGTGATGAGAATTCTTACACAGGTTGACTTGGGAAATGACGCGTGTCGTAAGTACGTGTTCAAATTGAAATGTCGTAATTGTCAGCTCGTAATTGCCACTTGGTAAGACGTTTTTGATGTCTAGCTTTCAGCAGTCGTTGCCCATTCAGCAATTTTATTGTGTACGCACGCACTCGTTCTGCTGAACGAAAGGTTTGTACCATACAATGGTGATAAAAATTGGCATTATCCTTAATTGCATAGAAGTGTGATGGCACCGGTCAGAAGAATCCGAGAGATGTTCTACACTCCAATTCTGGAGAAAGTTTTTTTTCAACAACGACCCCAAGTCGAACTCTAAACACGCATACTTTTTGCCATATGGATAGGGAATTTATATTTTCGTAATAGTCGTTATGGTCATGTTATAATGGCTGTCAATCAGCAATAAGTTAAAGCTACGGTATGCTCGTTCAGTTACTCCTCAGCGTGGCTCTACCCAACCTGACTGGTCATATAGTAACTAATTTTTGCCCTAATTTGTAATAGATTCATTCCAGCCCACCGGATGGGCAATCAAAACGAAATGGGGTAACCAGATAGATCCGAACGAATGCCCACATGAGTACGATTGCCGGCCGCGAATGAAGCCGGGCCAGGCTTTATGAGGTTTCCTTTAGCCAGAGCAGCACGGGTAGCTGAGTGGTCGACATCTATCTAGTAAAATTAGCCCCAAGAACATCAAGTCATTCTCCAAGTTGTCCTTCTGAAACGCGTCTCAGACGCGCTACTGATGAATAGGGAAAAGCACTGTGAACGACGATGACTGCGAAACGCAGTCTGTATAACGAGTAGGCCGTAATTAAGGCTTCGAATGATTTACTGTTTGTCTTATTAATGCTGGCACAGGTCGGAAAAGATAGCAACCGATTTTTCCACTAATCGGAGCCGTTTTGCTGGGCCAGCCCCTTGAGACGATAAGGCAGTGAAGCTTGTTTGGCATTCCTGTGATGAAGTCTAGATTGGTTATTAAGGGCACTAGAAAAGACTAGGAGATAGAAAAGACACCGACTACTAGGAGACCACGATAACGTTTTTCACTTCACAAGTGTAGAGTAACTTATCAGTTCTAGTTCTTCTAGATCAATTTAAAATAGTTCAGCTGTGGGTAACTTGGTAAAGGTAAAATAGCACCCATGGGCCTTAACAGATATAGCAGCTCGCCCTCTCCTTCAACACCCGTTCTAAATAAAGTTCCATTGATATTAACACAAAAACCCCTTGTTTAAATTCAAGTACTGCTTTTATTTAAAAATATCCTTTAATTTATATCGCAATTTTATTTACACCTCCAGTACAAGACTTAAAGCCCGAAACATCTATTTGGTCGGCCTAAACAGTGGTGCCCCTAAGGTGTTAGACCTAGAAAATACCTTGAGACAGAGTCATTTTACATTTTATTTAAACATATAAGATACTTTAACTCGATTCGATTTTCTGTCTAAGTGCCGGGCGGAGATCTATCTATATAAACTACCCGTTTGTCAGAAAAGAGCACAAAATCGATACTTCGGCTGAATTGTGGTCCTCGCTATATCCTGTGAACTCTTCATATTACAATAGCTCGTATATTTTAATTCAAGCTACGTCAAATTGTAATAGTTGTTTTGTCTTCTTACAAATATTGTTTGAAGAACTAAGTAATTATAGCCATTAAATGGTACATTTCCTCTCCTAACATTGCGGTTAGATTACAGGTCATATATTAAAGAGAGAGGAATTATTATTAAGAGGAATAAATTAACCAGCCAGCTGCGTCGACGTACGTATAGATAACGAGTCTGTAATAAACAAACAAAAGCTATTACATATTTGTTTCCTAGAGTCTGTCAATCGATATAGCTTACTTAATGAAAACCAAATTATCTTGGCCTCGTTACATATAATAATATTTCTACTAATAATAGTAAGTGTCAAATTTTTAGAATCGAACAGCGCCTTGTATTTAAACATCGATATCTATTGTATACAGAATTATACGAGCATATAGAAGCAAAAGCAAAAAAATAATTTTGATCCACACAAGTATTCCTGCTACGTTTACGTAGACTCGCAGTGTGTTTTTAACATTGAGACCAGCAGCTACTAAAGTGAGCCGTCAGAACAATAATATGATGATTTATCGAGGTCTCCTAATAGCCCAGTTCTGCTGGAGGTAGCCACACCGGCTAAACCTCTAAGACTTTAAGTAAATACACCAAACGCTGTGGTACGCCGAGCCGCTGGTCATTTATGTAACATAGGATACAACAACAGTGCATGATGGAAAGGATGGCATTAAAAGGAACAGTCAACCCGATTTCAGCCCATATACCTAGTAGTCAGGCCTTTTTGCACACTTTGTGCTCATTCATGCGTTCACTCCGCTTTTAGCGAATCTGTGTACAACAGATATCGATGTTTAAATACAAGGCGAAAATTGACAAATATGAAAGGTGTTTATCGTATTGATCAAAAGTAGACCCTGCAATCGATCTTTTTTAGTTCTAGCTTGAAATTAATTTTTCTACGCTAAGCTATTTTATAAAGCCTTAGTACTTACTGTCAGCCTCAGCTAACCTATACATATGTCTATGGCTTATACAGTATTGATAATATTATTAAATCATCTGTAGAATTTGCCTGATCCGAAAGGAGCGCTCTCCATGAGCTCAGTGTTTAGCCTTACGGAGCACTTGTTCTTGTCGAACATCATACGGATCTTCGACTCATATTTTCTCAGTTCGAATCCTTTTAACAGCTGAATATATTCCATATATCCCAATGTTTTATTATTTAGTATATTGGAAGAAGCTCCCTTGGGGAAAACAAAGGACTAATAAGTGGGGAAAGGATACTAAGAATTATGTAGTGCAAAGGCCGACATGGCTTTCGGGAGATCTATCTGTAAAACTTCGTAAAATTATCCCCTGTTTGATAGTACGAGATGATGATTCAGTGAATTACCGATGATGTGATGAAGATTTGTAGTGTTTTCTTGAGTGACAACGACCGACTGGGCAGTTAGTCTTACACATGGATCTAACTCGTCTTGAAGCTGATTATTTGGCGTTCCTTCGACAGGTGAGAGGCGAGCCGATTGAATTTGGATCAGTGCAAACGAAACGTGATCCAAAAGAGTCGTTGAGACGGCTCGAGTTGACGAGAGAAGAACCAAAACCAATATACGGATACTCGCCTATCTAAAGAAGATAACTATATAGATAGGATAGATAGATCAAAGGTAGCAGGAGTGATGATAAAAAGGAAGTACTATCGCCACTGCCGTCTGAGCTGATATCATTACTACGGCAAGCACCAGTATTGCTACAACTCGTAGTAGTACCTGCATGATATTGACGAACAGTCCACCGAGCAATTTAATCACTTAGAATAGGCAGATTGCAGAGAAGCCAACAGCAGGAGGAATTTTGGTTTTCTTGCTCTGATCTGACTGCCGCTGGTTCATTCGTTAGTACCG